TTGATAGAACCCGACCGACTTGGATCGAAACCGATGGATCCGACTGCGCGATAGGTGCGATAGCGTCTCAAAGATTCCCTCACCCATCAATGAGGGGAACCACCGAACTTCACCCCGTTGCGTATTGGTCTCGAGCAATGACACCCTGTGAACTAAACTACACGGTAGGAGAGAAAGAATTACTAGCCATCGTGGACTGCCTGGTCGCCTGGAGGCCCTACTTGGCTAACAGTAGTGATGTTATAAAAATCATTACAGATCACAAGAACTTAGAGTACTTCCAAAGCAAGCGACAACTAAATCGAAGGCAAATGAGATGGTTGGAAATATTGGGAGACTTCAACATAGAGATCACTTACCGACCAGGTAGCAAAAATGGGGGAGCAGATGCTCTGACAAGACGAGGAGATTATCATCCGGGAAAAGGGAGTAGCAAGGACCCGGATCTAAACAAAGGCAACTGGCTACAATTGCTACCGACACACGAACAAGTTGGATCGAATTCAATGGACTCAGAACACAAAGGACCAAGACACATAGTAAGAGGAGCAATCCGGGAAGACTCATTATTCGGACTCATTAAAAACGGACTGAAAGACTCAGAAGACATAGCAAACATACGACAACTAGGACTACAAATAACACGGACACAGAGCACACAGAACACACAGGACACACAGAAGACACAGGCTAGCAGCGAGACACCAAGAGTGTCATGGACACAGAGCGGATTACTCTTGTATAGAAACAGAGTAGTCATACCAGAGGGACAGGCAAGATTGGAAGTAATGAAAGCAAGACACGATTCGATATTAATAGGACACCCAGGAAGAGATAAAACCATCACCTTAGTCAAAGAGGATTATTACTGGCCACATTTGGACGAGTATATTGCGAAGTACGTAAGAGGATGTGAGATCTGTAACCGACATAAGACTCATCGACATCAACCGTATGGACATCTAGTCTCTTTACCAGTACCCACACTCCCGTGGACAGATATCTCTATGGATATGGTGGGACCCCTACCAAAATCGACCGAGTTTGACGCGATACTAGTGATAGTCGATCGACTAACCAAGATGGCTAGATTTATTCCATGTACAACTGGACTAACAGCGAACAAAGTGGCCGACATCTACATCAAGGAGATCTTTTCAAAACATGGAGTACCTCGAACAATTGTATCAGATAGGGGAACTCAGTTTACAGCGGAAATTTGGAAGGAAATATGTCAGTTCCTGGGAATAAAAAACTTATACTCGACTGCGTATCACCCTCAAACAGATGGACAAACTGAGCGAGTAAATCAACAGATGGAAATCCTGCTCGGAATGTATGTAAACTACAACATGGACAATTGGGATCAACTTCTACCAATTGCTGAGTTCGCTTATAAATGTTCGCCACATAGTAGCCACGGTCTGTGTCCCTTTGAAGCCTGTTACGGCTATGTGCCACACTACGACATCCATTCGCACGATATTCGATCAAAGTCAAACAAGTTGGAGAGGAAATGGAGAGATATGGGAGAATTACATGCGACTGTTCAAGAACAGGTCAGGATGGCGAATGAAATTAGTGCAGAGTACTACAACAGGAGACACAAGAGCATACCAGAAGAATTCAGAAAGGGAGAACAGGTACTACTAAGTACAAAGTATCTTACGACGGAACGACCCAGTCGAAAACTAGAAGCAAAATACATTGGCCCCTTCAAGATCATAAGGAAAGTTGGAAAAAATGCTTTCGAATTAGATCTACCTCCATCAATGAAAGTGCACAATGTCTTCAATGTCACGCTGTTGGAACCATATCCTAATGATATGATACCAGGTCGACAGATACCACCCCCACCGCCGGTAGTAATTAACGGCCAGGATGAATTCCATGTGGAAGCAATCGTGGACAGCAGAATTCGACGAGGAAAGGAAGAGTTCAAGGTAAAATGGTTAGGATACACAGGAAATGCGGCCTATGACTGGGAACCACGAGAAAATGTAGAAGAGTTGGCCGTTTTTGGTGAATTTTTGGAAAAGAGGAAGAGGGACCCCAGAAGAAAGTGAGAATTCGATCAAGATCAACAAAACTGGGTCAGAAATGAATGCATACACAGGAAGTATAGCTACAAGTAGAGAGATATAAACACACTACTCAATGGAGGCGTTAGAATCGGCTCGGGGACGACGGGCCGAAGCGGGAATACGAATGACATTGCGGGGAAGAGGAGTATGGGGAGAAGAGGATGGACCGGCAACTGGCTGAGAGGAACTCAATCCTGTAGGATCACCAGTAGAAGTAAGATGATCCAGAGTTTCATCGGCAGAAGGAGGAGCGTAGTTGGCGGAAATAAGATGAAGGGATTTGTAAAGAGCCAGATGTTGAGAAGGGAGAGGAAGGAGAAGGGAGGTAAAGAGATGAATGTAACCCGAAAGTTGGGTCAGACAGGCGGATTGGTCATGGGCAGGAAGGGATCGATAACGGACCGAAGCCGCACAAAGTTCGTGCTCCAGGACAAAGGTAACCTTGGAAGTGACCGTTCTTGCTCCCACAACAATACCCTATACATCAACATCGACCAAGTTCGAAGGAAATAGACAGGTACCTCACGGAATTTGGACTCAGGGTTGTTGGTCTTCACCGAACATTTTGAAGTACCCTTAGCAGAGCATTCACCACACACACCACCGACTGAATTGCATCAACATTGAACGAGTCGCAGCAAGAACTTACGAGGGCCAATACAACCAACACGAAAGTCTTCACCACCATCGAGACGACGTTGACAATCGGTACAGAGCTCACCCTCTAGCCGAACAACAGCACCATTTTTGTTGCGGAGGCGCCAACCTTGGGCCAAACGATCGAGCTAATGATTAGAATCGATAAAACTTGAAAGAATTCGAGACTTACAGCGTTCTTAAACCACTTTACAGTGGGCTTGATGGCGTTGGTTTCGTGGAAACGGTCCAGAGCTTCGTTCTTCAACGCGAGACGAACAGAGGGGAAGGTCATGCTGGCCCAAAGGGTAGCTAACAAGTCAGAAGCGAACAGAACTCGGTGGAATTCTCACCGATTTCGGAGTCTTTTCGATCCTCGAGCAACTTAACCAGTTCCTGGTTGACGGTAACCTTGCGAGGGGCGTGAAAGATGTCACCAAGTTCTTCGGGAACCTCCACAAGTTCGTCGGAAGCCTCAGAAGGAGGACCAGTGGGTTGCTTACCGGGAGAATTTTCATTTTCGACGACGGTAGGGTGTTCGGATTCGACGGATTTGGCGGGAGATAGGTTCTCACCAGTGGCAGATGGCCCAGCACCCCCTTCGAAGTCGAAATATTGCTCGATGACATGGTCATCAAGGAGCGATTGTGCTTCGCGAGAAGGAGCGGATTGATACTTCTCCTTAATGGTGTCGAGAGCTCGTCGAGACGCATCAACCAATGGGGGTTGAGAGGAAGCGGCTTCAGACGTAATTCTCATTCTTTTCGTTTTACGCATGAGGAGTTCGGGGTCGACGTCAGGCAGGATTGCCAAGGTAGAAGCTCGAGTTTGACGGGAGGAGGTGGAAGGAGACAACTAATCTCGTCAGCCAGTGAGAGATAGGAGGATATACATCGAATTCGAAGGGAATTGCTTACAGTACGCTTAGACATGCTCACAGACAGGTCAGAGTTGGAAGGATACTCTAAGATATGAATAAGATATGGATGGATGATGATAGATAAGTAAAAAGAACGACAAACAAGAGGTAAAGAGAGAATGAGGAGGAAAGAAGAGAAAGAAGACGGGGAGGTAACTTGGTCAGTAATTTCTCGATCACATTGGAGGTCCGTGCGGGTGACGCGTTTTCATGGCAACCGTCACACTAGCGTGGGTATGATGTCAGGGCGCACCAAAGGTGTCTAAGAACAATCCGTGTGCATCACCTGGTTACAGGGTTCAGGATCCTCGGCGAGGATCCTTGAGACAGGGGGGGAAACTTGTTACGGGGTAACAACGAATCGAGAGGACTCTATCGAGTTCGACGGATTAGGACAGAGGAAAGCGGGAGTTGGAGGCAGTGCTGCAGTAGGTAGGGACGGGTTTTCCCTTTTCGAGATTTCCCCACTGGGTTTGCTCAAAAGCGGTTTTTCACCTGTCCGAGTATGTACATAGACGCTTGCAGTAGGAACTGAGAGGAGGACACGGATACCTGTAGACAGTATATAGTACAATCAGCAAAGTACCAACTTTGCTGATTCTTCAATATCATTCTTTGGCTACATCGATTGCAGAGGAGACACGATCCATTAGCACCAGAGCCCCTAGATTTCCACGAGACCTCCATCGAGTTCGACCCAACCTGTGACCTAGTCGTCGTGTTTCCAGTACCGTTACAGTGACCTTGAGGGACTATGAGAAGTCCTGTTGTTGACCTTGAGAGAACTGTGAAAAGTTCTTGTGTTGACCTTGAGGGATTATGAAAAATCCAGAAGTGGGTGGCAAATGATGTTGAGAGGTGTTGTGATGACGAGCAAGGACTAAAGAGTGTTGAGCAATGTATACTGTCACGCCTGCGGGTAGACTGCGGTTGCAAAGTACTGCCTTGGGTACTGAAGGGTTTTAGTCTCTGGCTCGTAGAGCTTGATGACTGCCTTAGGTACTGAGGGTACTGAGGTGTTGGGTTAGAACCAACTAGGTGACTTTCAAAGATGAAGTTCAACTTCAAGATGAAGATACATTGCTGAAGAAAGAGGGGGGAGATGTGCTCCTTTTATACCCTTCAAAACTAAAGTAGGTGTGCTAAATAAAAAGCGTGTGAGGGATTTTCTAGCCAATCACATAAATGCCTCAAAGTGAGTGCACCACGGGAAACTAATTCCAGCCAATCACATAAATGCCTCACTGCTAAACTGCTGAACCTTCCAGGCTTCAGCCAATCACGTAAATGCCTCACTGCTGAACTGCTAAATACCATGACTCATATTTTCCTTCAATCCTTATCACAGTTCCTAGCATGAGTCATATTTCCTTATCACTATTCTGAGCATGAGTCAGAATTCCTTATCACTATTCATGACATGTGTGCTGATCTGATGTTTTTGCCATTACCTCCATCGGATGCTTGTGCATATGAGGAGATTCACCAGACTTGTTGACACTCACAAGATGAGTGGAACTTGGAGATGAGTGGAGGGCATTGACATTGGAAAGATGGCTTGCTGTCATGGAAGGTAAGACATTGATCACGGGACGTAATGACGACTGCTCATTGTTAAAGGACAGACAAAGCGGTTGCAGCTGAAGGGGAGTGTCAAGTGGAGAAAGAGTTCCACCAAATCGAAATCCAAATTTACCAGACTTGGTGCTCCCTTCTTCCTCAACGTCCCTATCCGTCTCACCATCTCTTACAGAAGGTGCCCGAAGCCTATCACTTTGTGGTGAATACCCCTCCGCCTCCGCCTCCTCCTGCTGATGTTCCTCCGAGTCGTCTTCTTCACCATCACCATAACCAGTTTGTTCAACATTGCGACAATCATCAGAGAGATTCGATTCAAATGATTGACGGATTGTTGCTGATTTGTCAATGCAACTCGCCTGCGCGCCATTTTCTGTGGATTTCCGGCGTACGCGCTTACTCGTACTGCGCTCCTGTTTCCTGTGGCTCGAGTCATCTGAGGACAGGGTCCCGGAACCTGAAGATAATGTGGCCGATCTGGATCGTTTTCTTTTTTGAGATGTGACGGTCACACGGTCAAGTGGATGACTCATGGAGGATGGAGTTAATAGTAAAAGACCAGCTGGAGTTGTTGTAGTTGGTGGTCGTTGGGCAAGAATTTCAGCCTCAGCTGCACTTAAAGGGGTGGTTGCGGTCGCAACGGGAGACATAGTGCGCGGAAATGGAGGCGGGCTTACGATGTATGTAAAGGGATCCGTGGAACTGTTATCATCGTCCGGATTCGGACCCCAAACAGAATTCTCGTCCATACCGATCAATTATGTACGTCGAAGTCGAATGGGAAGAGATAGGGATTTTTCAAGCGTGCTATTCATTGAGCTATTCTTATAGGTTGAAAAGGCGTGAGGAAGTCCAAATTTCGATCTCCGCAATGGAAAGGATCGATTGGGTTAGAAGGGAAATCGTCGGCCTTCCGAGATAGAGGCGGTGTCGGTGGTCCGGTTTCAGAGAGGCTAGAACGTTTTAGCCCAATCAGGTATGTCCGATCCTTTTTACTCTTATCCATCTTTCCCTTCAACTGCATTATTCTCTTCTTTCCTCATATGGTATGTATGTGAGATGGATGAGAGAGAACTTACTGACTGCAAAAGTGAAGGAGTTTTACCTACAACGAGATTTGCTTCTCTGACAATCACCGCCTCGTTCGAGAACCCAATATGGTATTTGAGAAAGATGAATGAGCGATTGGAAGGAATTCATGGCATTTCAGTAAGTATACATTTCAGTGTATTCTCCTTTGAGACACAAATATGAGTTTGTGAGTCATCGTATAGCCTATTACAAATCTCACTATTATCCTACAGAAAGTAATATCGAATAACGAGATCGTTTTCCCCTCCCTCTCCCGCCATTGACTCGGTCGTTGGAAGACATAGATTCGAAAGGATGAAAGCTGGGCTTGATGATTAGGACGTTTATGTGAGTAGTCATTGTACTACGCATGTGCTTAACCCGATGGCGTTTCACTTTCTACTACGATGCGCCTGTATTCCACCTGGGCGTTAGGTATTTGAGGGGTAACGAAGTCCGAGTTTGAGAGCCTTGATATCGTAAAGTCTCCTTCCACTTTGATGATGATGGTGACCATCTTTGTTCTCGTGATCGTTCCAGTCCGACCTGATTGACTCGAACGGAGGTTTGGTGGCTTGGTGCATTGTTGACAGGCATACTGCGTGTTGGAGTGATGAGCGGCTGGTCCGGAAGGGACAATATCGTCTTATACTTAAATATCAGCGAGCTACCTTTCTACATGATAAACTAAACCCACAGGTGAAAACGTCGTTCGGACCCTTGGACAACTTTCCTGAACGCAACCGCACTGACACGAAAGGTGGGGTACAGTAGTCGATGATTGTAGAGAGGGGTTGTGAGCATTTCTCGCGTCCGGTGAGTGAGTAGTTAGGTAGCTCACAGCGTAGTGGCACCGGCTAAAGTCATCAGACGACGATTTTTGGATCAAATGTCCATTGCCAGTGGGGCTGGATTGTTCCTCCTTGGGACCTTCACCTTCTTCTGGCCCATCGTAGGGAAAGTCGGTACCGATCTCCATGGGTTGCGGAGGGACGAGTGAGCTATCGTACGGTTGAAGCGAACGATCATATTCCGAACTCCCGTCCACCGATGTCGAAGCCACAGGGTATCTGACCTCCGCAGGATGTTCAGGGTATTGAGCGTCTGTCGGTCCGTCTAAGGCCATTGCGTGATCAGGCAGACCATCTGAGATGGTGCTCATGTTAGGTCGTCTTGTTGTTTATCGCCGGATAAATTATTCTTCGATCGGTTGAGATAGCAATGAGTCAGAGTTGAGGTTTGGGCGTGTCCGGGGGGGGGGGGGGTGTTTCAATTTCTCAATTTAAATGCTCACCTTTTGTCATCCTCAGACCCATCGAAGGCGTGGACCTCCTACGAAGGAGCTCTATTGGTGCGGAATATCCCCATTTGGGTTGCGTCATAGTTGCCGATAGGTCGATGATATCATCGTCAACTGCCTTAAAGCTCTTGAGCCAGATGACCGTCAAGATTGTTATCTTGGTTTCACATCAGACGTCATGGTGAGTCTAGACCTGTGCCATACGTGAAAGGATCGTCATTCAAAAGCTTACATGTATAGATGAGATACAAGGATAGTGGGTGTTTTGTGTTGGTTCGTGTATCGTAATCATGCGTCATAAATATGAGAAGAAGTCGAACCTTTGTCGATGCAAATTGTATTCGTTTTCGTTACACGATCGACCTAGGTCACCTGTGCAGATTTCTCTTCGACTTTGAGGGAGTTTCTTCGAGATTCGGTCTCCTTGACAAGTTGGTCCCATCGAGTCACAACTCTTGTTCTTTGTTCAGACGAGGCCTTCTTTGCCGCTAGACGTCCTGTTTCTTCTCTCGGATGACGAAGGATCAAGTCGGGTCGACCGGCGACTAGATGACGAAGTCTGGTCCATCCTCCTTGTAGGGGGAGGGCGATTGCCCCTGTTATTCCAGCGGCTGGACGAGCGCTCACGTTGACCCCTGACTCGTCAGCGATTTCTCTTGGATGGCCAATGTCATACTTACAGCTTCTACCAATTCCCTTAAGAACCCCCGTAAATCCCTGCACGATCAGCGATGCTCATTATATTGAGTCCACCCGACAAGCAAATTGTTCCAGTCCATGTATTAGCTTCCCAATGGACTTTAATCTGCATGTGAGTGGCGGTGGACGCACCTCTTTCTTGCCCGCTTCCACAGGCTCAGTCACCAATCCTGTTATCCCATCCCACCAACCCCACCAAACACCCATGGCCCCCTGCTTCACGCCAGAACCGAAATCTGTAACCTCTTGATTTTTCCGACTGGTAGAACCGAGTGAACCTGGAATGGAAGCGAAACCATGATGGATGTCCATGAGTCTGTCGATGACATCTGGAAGTTATATTCTGCTTTCACAAGTGTGGAGAAATGGCTCACTCTGGGGTATGGCAGCGGCAGAGATGACAGATCCTCTTGGCTGAAACATCAGCTCCAGTCGACAACCTGAAGTTGATTCATAGATAAGAGGAAAGACGAAAGCTACAAGTGAGAAATAAGCATGAGCGGCGTAGTACGAGATGTACTATTAGAGTTGAGGCGTGAAGATGAGTCATAGGAAATGTCGAAGGTCGTCGGTAGACTCACAGTCGCCCAGATAAGCTGTTCCACCCCTCCGAACGGACCGCGACCAGTAGGGAACGCTAGGGAAGCGATACCAGGAGTTCTCTTGTTATATTCTTTCGCTCGTACCGGTTCCAAAGTCTTGATGTTCAATCGACCTTCTTTCTCCAGGATCCCCGCGGACTCAGCGGATAGCCGAAGACAATGTACCTTGGAGTACCAACATGCCGCTTTAGTCGGGTCGATGTCACAACTACACCATTAGTGATCTCATTTCTTTCGCTCCCACTTTTCGACAGATTGCAACACCCTGCATGGAAGACGGTGGGACAAGTAGAATTGGACCCAGGTGAACCTTGTCTCACCGAAGCTTGTTCAAGGGAAGGTGTCGATGAAACGCCTCCATGCCTGCCTTCTCTCCATCTTCTTTCCGGATCTTCTCTCCCATCTTTCTAGCGGCTACCTGTGCCTCCGAAGATAGAGCGAATTTGATAGCATCTGCGAGATTCTCAGCTGTCAGAGTCTTGTGAGGGATCGGAGCCGGGCCTCCGCCAGCTTTGAAGATCATCTCTCCCCAGAATCTACAAGTCAGCTTAAAGCTCATCTGCGCATAATAAACTGACCTTTGATCTCCGAAGAACGGAACGACAATGGTAGGAAGTCCATTTCTAAGACCAATGGCAGTAGTGCCTGCACCTGCGAATGTGTGAGCAATGATCGACAAGCGGACGGTGAACATACCTCCATGATGACACACGGCCGCTACACGGCCATCGGCAAATAGCCAATCATGCGGCACACTTTCTAAGGGGTCAGCAATGAAGCATGCGAACAATTGAATGTCCTGACCTTTCAAGATGTAGACGTCTTTGGGGACATCGACACCTCCCAGTCCTCCCCAGCCGGCACTGATGATAGCACGTACCCCGGTCGTCTTCACCGCCTCGAGTATCGTGTCTGCTGTGTTAGCGAGACTGGTCAAGGTAAATTACAACGCACTAGTCAAAGCCTGAGGATCTTCCACAACAACGGAGCCAAATCTAGGCATTAGACTAGTTGTTACATTTAAACTTGTTACTAACCCAATGTAGATAGGGGGTTTGCCTCCCTTGAGGAAGCTTGCCAGTTCCGTGCTGGGTGTGTAATGCCCAGTGCCCTCAAGAAAGTAGAAACCACTGATTTCTGATTGTCAGAGTTGATTGACATGGCAATCGAGTTGAAGACGCACCGACGTTCTCTGCCCAGTCTCGCGGTTTTGGAATGAGACCTTCACTCCAGCAGTACGTCCAAGGCACTTGAAGACTTTGTAGGTAACGGGAGCCAATCTTGGCGGACAAAGGTTCAAGCCCAAGACGGACAGTTCGAAAAGCATTGATGATGTCCCCGAGGCCTTGCCAGGTGCTGACGGTCAGCAATCGGCCACAAGGGCTAATCAACGTAAATGGCAGTGATGGTATGCCATACAGGTATAGAGGCGGCCCGGCCATGGTCGAGCTAAGGAATAATATTGGGGTGAAGATCACGAAGATAAGACTCACAGTAAGTCAGCCATATCATATGAAAGCCAATAAGTCATACTCTCTTCGGCATTAGATTGTCTTATGTTGACCAAAGGATGTTTGAAAGATTTCGTAGGAGTCCATGGCATAGCTTTTGGTCAATCCGCCATCCTAAAATATATAGGCGAGACTTACTGAACGACATCATCAGAGGTAATCCCAAAGCTTCCGCAATGTGAACATGCCCAAAAGCAGGTGGATTACTGATGATAGCATCCGCTGCAAACGGTTTGCCCGACGCGGGGTCAGGACAATGTGTGGATTCCCAGAACCCATCAAGCATTGTCGCTGTCATTCGACGTTTAGAACTGATATCGCCGTTTCTAAGACTTTCCATTGCTGGTAGAAGTCCTGGATCTTTCTTGGTCAACTTTCACCCTTGAAAACTTTGCTTAGATTTTGGGACGTACTCTTGACCATATAAGCCATGAGATCCTTAGGATCTCCTCCAATGTCGAAATATTCCAGTTTCCCCTCCAAGTCCACGCCGTCTTTGCCTCTCTTCCCCCGGAGTCTTTTGTTTTCGCTCAGGACGAAGTCTCGAAAGTCAGGATGAGTGGCGATTCTGACACGATGGGAATACGACTCAATCAACCTCAAAGCCAAGGACAAGTAAGGTTGCACGTCACCTGGATATGAGCTTCATAGTCCTGAGACACAAGAGATAGCAAACTTACCTCTGGAACCAACAATAAAAATAACGATGTTCAGAGGGGGACAGTCCAGTGAAGCATGTGGGTCAATGGGGGACATTTCAGGAGGAGATGTCGCTTCTGATGGCAAGTTGAACAACGCGGATCGCACGTCGACCCAGATATCAATCATACCCTCCTCGTCGAGTGCCGCTCGAGAAGATAGACTTGGTCGCTCTTGTGAGGTATCGACATTATCTAAAGTATCAGCTAATCAGATCCTTACTCATGTTGATCTCGTACAAAACTTCGCCAGGACAGACATAAGTTTTCGTGGACAAGAATATGAGAAGTACTATTATGAGACTCACCCAAAGCTGGATCAAGTTGGATTTTACCCAACATGGCTTTCTTAAACTTATTCCATCCTTCCTTCTTCATATCACTCTCTACTTTCTCCTCTGGTGAAGAGTTTGAACGATCAGCATCGGGAGTTGCAGTTGGGCCACCGTCATCTTGGGTCGACGAAAGTTCTGGGGGTGGCGACTGATCGAGAAAATCTCCTCTTTCTCCATGAGGTGGAATGCGCATTGTTTTACGAAGCTTTTGTTCACTCACTTTACGAATGAGTGGTATAAGTAATAGAATGACTCGTAGAAGGGGGAATGAAGAAGTTTGAGCATGTCTTACATATATGCCATTGCAAGCAACGAGGCTCGGGTTGTGACGTAGGGATGGAAGGAGGGTGTGGGGTGTGGGGGAAATGTGGGGCTCCACACTGGAAAGGGCGGAATTAAAAAATCACAAATACACGTCATTCCTGGGTAACCCTCGACGCGTCTCAAGACGCTCAAACCCCCCTCTCACACATCTTCAAATAGTATTGACCTCTAAGACCAATGTCGGTGAGTCAAGCATCATCTTCACCTATGAGTAAAGAGAAAGCTGATAGTATAGCAATACGAAAACACTCCTTCTCGTCGACCGGATATAAAACGAAAGCTCGTGGTGGTGGGTGATGGAGGTGAGTTCCTTGACAGGGCTTCGATACATCTTAGAGGCTGATTATGTAGGATGTGGGAAGACATGTCTATTGACAGTCTACGCGGAGAATAGGTTCCCAGAGGTGAGCTCTTCTATCTGTGAAGTGTCCGAATGGGCTCACACTTGGCTTTGCAATGTTCTCATTCCATCACTTAACATCTCAATACTGTATCTGCTCATGACGACAATCCACCCGCCTCTCTCTTTATTCGACGTATTCTAAACATATCATATCGATCTTTCTACTATCATGCTGATCGAATTCGTATCCTCGGTTCATACCCGCACATTGTGTACATCATACACCTCAAATCATCTTTGCTTCCCTCACGATTCAACTCGACAGGAATACGTACCGACAGTATTCGAAAATATGGTAACCATGCTTCCCTCCCCATTGGACCCAAGTAAAATCATCGAGCTGGCTTTATGGGATACTGCAGGTCAAGAAGATTTCGATCGACTTCGTCCTTTGAGTTATAACGATACGGATGTTATTTTGATTGTTTTCGCTTGTAATCATCGACCAAGTTTATTGAATGTTCAAGATAAAGTGAGTTTGAAAATGTTCTTCTTTCCTAGTGTGATTTCAAATCTCATTTTCACCATGTTACCTTTTCTTCTCACATGTCTAAAATCGATCGGACTGCCAGTTCGACGGATATCATGTTCGAGCCGATATTTCTTTGTTTCAAAGAAGCATTCCGTCAGTGAAGAGTCAAATCAGGAGGGGAATGACGCTGTATCAAAAATCCATACCATTTCCTTTCGAAGGATAGATCGGATGAGTTGATCATGATCTGACAATTATGAAGTACAGATCGAAGTACGGGTGGAGAGGTGAAGTACCGATCAAAGTACGAGTGAAGCGATGGAGAGATTGGAGAAAGACAGACTTCGAAAAAGAGACATAAGTCAATTAACAATTTCAGTGGCATCCCGAAATGGCACATTTTTGCGAAACAGTACCAACCTTACTCATCTGTACGAAAACAGATCTTCGAAACGATCCCTCTACCATTTCCCTAATGGCAGCTCAAGGTTCTAAACCCATTACTTCATTAGAAGGTGAACGCGTAGCGAAAGAAATAGGTGCGAGAAGGTATCTTGAATGTAGTGCGAAAGAAGGATGGGGAGTTAGAGAAGTTTTTGATGCTGCCGTTAGAGAAAGTTTAAGACGACGTAAAGGTGGTTTGAAAAAACGTTGTGTTATTTTATGATTAATGATTTTGAATCCATTCGTTTTGAAAAGTGGAGCCAAGGGGAAGGAGGGAGGTTAATGATGATTTTCATGTTTTTTTTCTATGAAGATTTGTTGGATTTTAGATTACCCTTTCGTTATATGGATACCTTTTAATCAATGTCAGTGCGTCATTTGGAAAGGAGTCCCGAGGGGATGAGGTGATGAGGTGATGAGGCGATGAGGCGATGAGGGAATGAGGGAACGAGAGAGTAGGGGATATGAAGATTATTGACAAGAGATCAGTAGATGGTTTGGCAAAGGCGAAAGCGGGAAAAGAAGGGAGTCAGGGAGTTGGGGAGAAGAAAGATGATAATGAGTAAAAGAACATTTGATGACATATACCATGCATTTTCCACGTTCTACGGGTTATACACACAACATTCACTTGATACCTTACTATTTGATATGGGACAGATTTACTATACCTTTCCTTCCAGATCAACTGGATGGACTTTTGGGGTCTATACTCTAATGGGCATGATGAGATCGTTAGGGTCGTACATGTGGGTGGGGTGGTCAACATGGACAACGCGTTATGGTGTGAGGACATGAATATGGGTTGAGCGTCGACGGTAGATGTGGTAGGAATACATGATTGATGATTGGGACATGTCGAGAAGGGAATATATCGTACATATTGAAAGGGGGATATAGAGGGTGAGATATCGTATGGGATGATGCCAGGGTGTGTATGTCGAAATCATAGGATCGTCACTTCATGACGGATGATGAAGGGGCGATTTTGATATTGACAGCTTGTTGACCGGAGGAAGATAACAATCAGATGGTTCGTACCAAACAAGAAGCGTACCGGCTCGAAATCTGGTGATCGCCGTTTGTTTAGAGTGGTCTGACAAAAGGAGAGGGTGAGAAGAACGAACTCACACGCCCAATCGAGTGGCGAAACCTCTAGTGAGTGAATTAACACTACTCCCTCCTATCCTGTTAACCTCCAAATCATCATCTTCAAAAATGAGCGGATCGAACAAATCTATATTAGGTGGAATCCCAAATCTCATATTCCTCTTAGCTTCTTCTGCCGATTCACGTTGATCATGTCCACTAGACTTTTGATAAGAAGTTGGAAGAGGAATAGAAGAATCATACGATATAGATCTAGGATGAATTGGAGGTACTTTATCGTTCGGATCTGAATTAGGACTAGAAGGTTCTGTCATTGTATTTTTGATCGGAAGCGAAGTCATTCTGTTGAACATAGGTATACTTGTATTATTCGAAGTTGATATCGTTTGAGGAAGATGAGATTCAATTGGAGAAGTAGAAGAAGAAGTAGGAATTATGAGAAATGATTCTTCTTTCCATTTTCTTCTCAATTCTTCTCTTCCGGTAGAGATTATATCTTCTAGTTCTTTTTCCCATCCTAGTAAACTGACGAGTCGTCGTACACCTTCATCGGCATCACCTTGCCAGAAACAATCACGACCTTTATCCCAATCAACATCAGGTCCAAGAAGTTCTCGTAATGGTAAAGGGTGTGGAGGGGCTTTTGGGGACAGTTGAGATAAATGAGAGAATTGTCCGACGATTTCACGATTGATAAGTAATCGAGGGATGGGAGGTTTGACGAAATCTGGGAGATTCGCAAATGGGCTAACTTGGAGTGAAGTACCTATGACGATTAGGAGATCGCAATCTTCGAATACCTGGAATCAGATCAATTCATTCGACTGAAAAAAAAAAATTCTTCACACGGTCAGGCTGAAGGGTAGTGACCTCAACATGAACATGAGAGTAGGACGGATGATAAGGGGATGGAAGCTCATGACAATTTTACGAATACTGCTGAGCAAGAATAACGTGCATGTGACTTGGTGAGGATGATTTGGGGATGAGGAAACCCACAAACTCACATCCAAATTATCCCAGAAAGCCTGTGGAAGAGCCTCCCCAAAAAAGACGATATCAGGTTTCACCAATCCCCCACATTCACACCTCACCACTTCTCCATGTAAAACTCCTTTACGCAGCACGTATTCTCTTGAGGCCATCTTGGCACACGAAAGACATCTAGCGGTGGCGAATGAACCATGAGCTTCGATCACTCGATCGGAGTTCAGGCCGCTGAGAGTCTCGAGGGTGTCGATGTTTTGTGTGAAAAGACGTCGCAAAAGCCCCTTTTCTTCGAGAAGACGGATGAAATAATGGGTGGGGGTAGGCTGAAAGTTAGTCTCGTCATACTCTCAACTTGTTTTCCCCGACATGAAAGGTAGGAACAGAGAGGGACAAAAAGAGGAGGAAGAGACTCACCAGATGTCTTCCGGGATAAAGTTCCTTGGCTAGGGTCCAAAATGGCTACCGGTCAATTTCGAATTTCTCTTTCAATTGACAAGTCCTTCTTTGACATTAAGAGACGACTATGACGACCAGGACCGTTGGTCAGTGAAAGAAAGAGGGGTGGACGGATAGGAGAGATATCGAACCCACCTTCGGATTCTTCTTGAAGAAACCGAGATCGAATACGGCCTCGGGATAAGGTAAATTCAAAGCTTGTAAATTATCGTATAGGCCCGTACCAGGAGATCGAAAGTCTGGAATACCAGCAGAGGTAGAAATGCCCGCTCCGACGAGTACGACTATTTTGGACGCTGCCAATCAGCAAGCGTTTTGAGAAGCAGATCGGTAAGGTGAAATGATATGAAAGTGGAGGAGATCATCACGTCTGACTGGCTTCAGAGTGGGAGATGCACAAACCCTGACCAACGGTGACAACGTCGAGAAATTGGCATTGTGGGTAAAAGGAATAGGACATGAACATGAACATGTACTGAGCGAGTGGAGTGAACCTACCTTTACCGTCTCTGATCATTGATGCGATTATCTGCAAAGTGGCGTCTGAAGTATTTTCAAGTAATGTAGGACTTTCAGTCATCTCTTGTGGTAATGAAGATGAAATTGATGAGCTAGATGCGGAATGTCTTTGTGATGATACTGAAGGAGTGACATCCTGTTCATCAGACACGCGAGGTTACACTGATTGAGTTATGATAAGAGAGACATATATCCTTATGTCAAAGAGATCGTAAGTGGGAGGATTTAAGCGGCCGTTTCACCATAGGGGAAACACGATGGAGAGGGATCAGAGACAGAGGAGGGAACAGGAGATCAGGGGGGAAGCGATGAGAAGAGGGGATGAGGAAGAGAAGATATACTCTTGATGGAATAAATCAACTCACATCATCATCATCATCATCTATCATCCTCCAATCCATCCTTTCTTCCTTTCTGAGTCCCATGATTGCCCCTTTCGGGAAAACTCTTGATATGACAAAAAGAAATCTCTAAACCTCTTTGTCGATGCCTTCCACTTGTGATACGCGAGTGAGATCTTTTCTCCCCAATCACACCAAACCGTGCTCTTCCTGATCCTCTCTCGGATAACTAATATCCTGAGGGTTTCGCCTCCTGAAGTCTCACCTCGTTTTCAATCAAGGGTCCCCAGTGACCGATGGGGATGAAATCGGCAGTCCCGAAGTTGTTTCTTGTTGTATATCAAAGACCACCCCGTAATTATTTCTTTCTTCAATCAGATTAGAATGTTAACGCCTAAAATAACCCTCCCTCCACTCGTCCTTTACCGTGCGGTCACTGCGGACTGTACCCCCAAAATCCGCAGTTCGATTCTTCTTGAAATGTTATCGACGGAATGTATTTGAATCAAGTTTGCTTTCTCGAATTCGGTTGAGATGTTGTATTTAGAGATTCGGGACTTGTCTTGTGAGCTTTCGTCCAATTTTCAGGACAGGCGTACGTCGATGTTACCGAGTCACTGAAGTGAGAAGCTGTCGTATAAGAGAGTCTTTCTCATATCAGGGGACGAAATCATCATCATTCACTTTCGGCCTGATGGACCTCTGGATCTTTACTGACAACAAAAGACATAGACAGCTTCATGCTGTCAAATGACCAAATGACCAAGTGAGGAGAAGGAAAAGTGGGGGAAATGCAGGAAGAATTACTTACCACTACTGTGAAATCTGTGAGAGGAAAGAAGCTAATTGTTGAGAAGTAAAGAACGTGTCGGAGTGACGGATTGTTAAATCGTCAAAGTATGGGAAACGATTCATACGGAGAAGAAAAAGAATGGAATGGACTTGGAATGAAATGAAATGAATGATTGGGAAAGTAGGAGAATAGTCATAAAAGGAGTTGAAAGTGAGAGTAGTGGAAGATCTAAAACAAGGTGACTATCTCTCTTCCTCTTCCCTTCCTTTTTTACCTTTTCTCCACCTCGACCCCAGATTACCACATGTAACATCCGGGTCTACTCCGTTGACGTGTTTCTCTTCATCTGCTCTCCCTCATTCCCCCTTGCCCCCATGCCCCTTTTTACAAGTACAGCGTCTAGACTTGTACACTCGGCCTCGGCTGTGTGCTTTCAGGATCTAGGAACCAGAAGTGACCACGCGGACACGTTTGTATCTTTAGCTTCTGACCTCCGATGGCCAGATGGGCCAGATCTACTGGCTAGTGGCTGGTGGCTGGATCAAGTCCGGAATAAGGGGGTGTCTATGTATTTGAATCCCTTGATCCTTCCTTGGCAGGCTACAATAGGGTTCTCGTACTTGTTCGGACTCTCCGTCGGATGTCGGAACCCCATCAGCCCCAGTTCCCCCTTCCTCCCCCCGCGGGGTTTTTGCAGAACGCCATACAAACGTGATTCGACTTACATCGTTAAAATTATGACCGGGCACAGGGTAGACATTTTAACACCATAAACAGACCAGGGGTCAGGTATGTATACAAAGTATGATCTTCATGCCCATGCTTATGCTACATACATCCTTTACTTACCTTTCGTACTCAAACTACTACTCGAAGAACTACTCGACATTCTCGGTTGTAAACTCATAGGTCTTAAACCTTTTTGTGTCTCTTCACCTCCTCCATTCCTTAAACTAGCAACCCTCGATCCGAGAAAACTCCCAATTCCACCGATGGTAGCTCTTATATCTGCGATTTGACGATTTTGACTTTGTTTTGTTTCTTGCGTGGTGGAAATTATAGGTGTTGAAGGTGTTGGATTTGGTGAAGTTGATAATAACGCCCGACGAGTTTTTTCAGCTTCGATACGATGATTAACTTCTGTTCTTACTCCGTCGAAAGCTTTGAATAAAGAGGTAGAACCTTGTGAGAGAACTGAGGAACTTGCTGCTAATGCTGAAGAAAGAACTTCACGGGTTGGAGCTAAGGATTGATCGAGATGAAGATCTCTTACACCTTCGGATAACCGAAGAGAGAGGTCGGAAATGTGAGTGGGTTTTCCTTCACAGGGATGTCTGGTAATCAACACCCATGTAGATGATCATATAGTGATGATACAGGATACAGAGTTCGTGGAGGTGGTGATCATCACGTGTAGGACGTAGGCCAGGATGATCAATGTCACATCAAGACGACGGGGTCGAGAAAATGGGCGCGGATTGGCAAGTGTATTTGAAGATCAGCAAAGCTTGGAAATTGACTCACCTAGGCTCACACAGATCAAACAGAACAGGATCGGTACATTGTTCCCAATTCTTACCAGCTTCCGTAATCTTAAAAGCCATCAACCAAGCCTCCCCAAAAGGTGCTAAAACATTCCCATCACCACCCGCTCCAGATCCAGAAGTGACAATAGCGATATCTTGTTGTTTTCCCTTAGCGAGGAAATCGGCATATTTGATAGATGACAAGCATGCACAGATGTACTCTTCGAATCGTGACCGTAGATCGTCGTCACTTCCACGGAACCTGATAATCAGCTATGTTCCATCCATAAACAATTTTCACCCACCCTGCTCTTTCGCCTTCGGGCTGTCTTATCAGCACAAGTCGTCATCTGATATGTGAAATATCGAAGAGTTGGATGGGGAAACTCACAGTAGCCCAAGTCTCTTCCACGGCACGGACTACATCGTCCATCCATTTCCTATCCGCAGCAGTGAGGGACAATAATCGTTCTAGTTTAGGGTCGGTGAATTCAAATGAGACATTTTCGATCTGCTCATCAGCCTTTCATCTGGACTGTGGTACACTTTAGGCAGGATAAACTGAACAGACAGATGCTTCGGTGCAAGAACAAAGGTAAACATATAAACGGGGGTTGAGGGAGATGGATGGGACGAAAGGAAAACTTACGTTGACGAGTAAATCATACCTTGCATCTTTCTGCTGCGTCACAATCTGATTGGTGGTCCCCACAAGCCATGATCGAGCCTTTAACATCTCTATCTGTTGCAATGGTAAATAAGGTTGGAAGAAAGCGTCTTTCCCGAATAAATGTAATGCTGAGAAGATCAGTCCAGCTTACTACCATTTTTTGGGTGATTCGATCTTTCTACCATGTCATGAAGAGCAAGATTAGGGTGAGGACAAAACAAGGGTGGGAGACAAAACTCACGCAAACCCATATACCTTAATAGACTGCTCCTATCACTTGACCTCAAAGACGTCGGTCGCACTCTGCTCGTCCTATAATCCAACTCCGGTGCCCCGGAATCTCTCAAATTGAGTAAAAGCCCTATAATCAATCAACATCATCAAATTCTCTTAAAAGTACTCACCCGGCATGAGAGATACGAGAGAATATTGATATGTACATAGCATTTCTACTGGATAACCAAATAGCATAACCTATATATAAGGTGAGATTGTGGATGATGAAAAGAAAACAGACACGTTTTTGTAGCATTAGAGCTTTGAGAAGTATTAAGGTTTTATGTCTGAATTTATGGATTAATTCTCGTAAAGATGTCCCTTTCTGTCAGCTCAAGTCTTAAGACAACTGGGATACGGAAATTACTCGGATGCAAAGGTGAAACGAGAGGGTAAGATGGTAAGGGACGGAGGTGAAGGAAGATGAGGGAGGTAAAGAAAGACTAACCCATATAGATAGAACCTTCCCCACTCTTTCCTTGTAAACTAGTCTCAAGACTGGTGTAGAAGTCTTCCAAGATGCCGGTTTGTGTGAAGTCCCTTTGGGCGAAATATGCTCTAGTCACTACTCCTAATCGATCACTACATGGTCAGTATCATTCAATAATCTCTTTTCCTCTGTACCTGTAAGTCCTCTTTTGTCCATCAAATTTTATGTCCTCTTACCTTGCTCATCCACAATCCATGACACGATACCTCCTTCTGCGAGCCTGTACTTCTTGGTTCCCTCACTACCCATTCTCGAAAATTCAACTATATAGACGCTGATGCTGAACGAGGCGCGAGGAAGGAGGGGGACAAGAAACGAAGCAGAGAGAAAAACCCACCGTATCGGCCCAAAAACAGGTTGAGAAGCAATTACCACCACAGCTTTCTGTACCATACTTCTCGTAACATCACTCGGCCTCTTCAATAATTCCGCAGCTGCCAATTGTCTATTACATCTTCCCGTCAGTTTTAATCGGACAGATGAAAGAGGACATACGAGATTCCGAAGAGAGTTTGACCCGGAGGTACATTCGTGAGAGGAAGAGCGTCTGGATCTGAAGGGGAATATGTGCAATGCTATTCCGTCAATACACATTCAATCCACCAAATCATCATCATTATGAAACACGCACGAAATGAGAATAATCTTCTTCCGACTATACATCAGTTTCTGTCTTTCATAATTGGAAAAAGACAAACTAAATGAGCACCATCAGGTAGAGCTAGAAAAGGTAATAATTTGGAAAAAGAATCATCATCTTGGATTGCAATTTGAAGACTTTGAGGATAGGCGAATTCGACAGTTGGTCCGATCTATCAATTAGCACTGCTACCACATTCCCATTCCCATTGAACACGACCATAAAGTCCACAGAAACAAGGAGACGACCTGCCATGGGAGTAAAGTGAAATTTCTCATGGGTTTGACAACATACATGAAGTAGATTCAAATAGGCTGTCTCTGAGGCCTACATGAAGAGAAGGTTATAGGAAGATGTCTCACCAAATGATTGAAATCCACAACAGCAACTCCTAATACCAAAGGAACATCCAGAGCTGGACCAGTAGTAGATTTCTGACTTGAATTACTCGTAGAAGTCTGTTTCGTTTCTGATTGAGCTTGGAACGTAGCAGAAGGGGTAGGACGTGGAGGAGAAAAAGAAGAGAATTGAGAGAAACGTGATGAACCACCGGCGGATGATGGAGATGACCAAGGATCAACAGGGGGAAGGTCAGAAGAGAAATCGAGCTCTTCGTATGTCGATACGGGGCGATTGGGATGTGGTTCTGAAAAGTCTATGGGTTTATGAGAGGAAGCTGACATGATATAGAGAATCTTGGTAAATATGGGCAAGAGGTGGAAAGGAGTAAGTAGTGGACGTTCGGATTACCTATGACGCGTGAAAGGCAATCTCTATTGCTATTGTAGTCATGTTTCATGTTGCTCTTCTGACTTCGGCGGATCTTGAACACCCCGGCTGAGGGCAGCTAGTAGGTCATACATACCCTCATTAGAATGACATCCTACATACTGAGCCCGATAGCCGATGGGGTGCAAACTGTCCGTCCGAACAGGTTATAGGCCTTATAGGGGTCCCGATTGACGACCACAAATGTGAATTCGCCCACAAGCGACGAGGTGACCCACATCAGATAGACAGGGAGACAGGGTTCAGATCGGATATGTTCATTTCCCAAGTCAGTAATCAGTGAACAGAGCTCGTCGTCACTTGTTTCATGCTCCACATTCTCCATGTCACCAGCATCCCCGCTATGTCCGCTACATGCTACATTTATTCTTCTCCCACTCGACAACATCGCTTCCCAACGTCCGTTCATCCTTTCCTATCATGTCACTCAATCTGCCACACCGGGACAGACATCGCATCTCCTGAGAAGGGGTACATTTTAAGTTCTGATACCCTAAGCAAGGGGAACCTAGTATCATTCGCCAGCTCGGTCATGAGATATCGGAAAGCACTCTCAGCCTGAATTCGAATCTCATCTCTTGCCAGACTCTCCAACACGTCTTTCTTCTCTTCTTTTGTTGTTTCGGGTGTCCTCCCGCATTCAAAAAGGACGAGTTTGAAGACGGCCCGCATGATGATTGAAGTAGCGCGGCAGTGTTTAGAAAGGGAAGGCCGATAGTCGAGTCTACCATCTTCTTTAGTCACTTCTAAATGACCAATGCTCTCCAGACATTCTGCCGTCAGACGTAGAGACCAGCGGTTCATACTCATGTCCAGAACATGAGGCGGGACACCCATTGCTCTCATTCGTGTGGTCGAGAGAAAAATTCGTTGGTCGTCATCTTTGTATTGGGACAATTCTATTCCCATGAGGTTGTTAGCTGATGCTTTTCGCCTGTAGTCTTCGTCGATCTCGTGACCGCTCATCCGGACGGATTTCACGCGTCTTTGTTGGCGCATGGGAGAAGTTTGTGTGGTTGTCGGTGAAGTCGACGGTGCATCGTGAAATCGTAAGTGCTCGTTCTCGATCTGATTATTGTCGAGATGAGATAAAATCGGCTTCTTGGAAATGGATGTCAAGGGAGGGCCACAAAAACGTGAGTCACTAGTCACGGTTCCAGAGTTTGTCGATGGAGGTGGAGTGGGTTTCCTGCCATCTGATGTCAGCGAAGGACCTCCAAGACGTAGATCATCAGATGCATCATGATGATAAGACGTTACAATCTCATTCAAGGGTGGACTCGGTCCTAGCGTGAAGCTGGTGTCCTCCGAAAAAGGGGAGGTTTCCATCTGTTCGGGAGGAGAAGATTGCTGAATATCAAAATACTGTTCGTACGGATCGAAGCTGGTCGGATACTGAGCCAGCATGTTACCCGGGGTCGACAGTGAGTCTGATGACGCCGAAGGATAGCTGGGATACCATGGACCAGGTGACATTCCGTGATGTACGTATCCTCGTTGTTTTCGACGCCGGGAGACAGGAGTTGATTGGCATATTGGGAATGGTCTGACATGCCGTTGACAGCATCGTAGATGCTGATGTCATACATGTAGTGGTACCCGTCGTCGTTGTCCATGCTGCGGTCTGGACTGTTGCTGGTCATGGATGGTTATAGAGCAGATTGTCCCTTGGAAGAGCGACGAATATAAGATTGAAGCTGAGGGTCTGGGGAAAGAGAAGGGGGAGGGGGGTACATGATCTCCTTTCTGAGACTTCCTGCAGGTCAGCCGCGAGTATGCTTGGATTGAAATATCATAAATGGATGACCTCAGATTGTCTCATAGGACGGTGAGTATGACCTCATGCGAACTTCTGGACCGTGGGATAGAAGAAAGGTGTTAGATATCGAGCGATGGTGGGACGGGGGAACTGTTGCTCCCAGAGGAATGTGGCCGTACGTGGGTGTTGTTGGGGATGAGAGTTGCATCTAACTATCTACTATGGAGAGGCGTCTACAAGAGTTTCGGGGTTCTTACGTGACGTGTAATTTAGGTACTGATTATCACTATCTAACACTCCCCTTAATCCGTACTAAGTTGCTTTCATAGGAGCAAAGAAAGATTACCAAAGACTATGGGTTCCGGCGACTCGTCTCCCATGACATTGACTTGGTGTTTTGATCGGTATTCTTTAATGGCTTCCTGTAATTGACTCTTGGATAGATCTCCGCGTTTCTTAATGCAACAGTCTTCCACACTATGTCCGTATTTACCACACCAATCACACTCTTCGTCTTCTTCACTATCACTCTCATCCTTCCCACATTTTCCTTCTTTCCTCGTCTTTCCTTGTCCCTTCTCCTTCTCCTTGTTACCTCCATGTTCACTACTAGCACCATTACCTCTACCTTTTCCTACCCTACTACCTGATCTCCCCTTATCCTTCTTTATAGCATCTTTATTTACGAGAACAGCACTGATGGCTTGTTGAGTATGGTTCTCCATTTCTTGCTCAAGACGGCGGGTGTCGGCAATACTGTGGTATGCGGTTACGAGATGGTCCCAGCTTTTCTGTGTGTCTGGTCGGAGGTCCCACTGTTGACAAAGTGGAGCAAAGTCGCAACCAAGGGAGAGAAGAAATCTTTCGGAACGATCACCATCATCTATATGGGCACCTGCACCAAGAGCCTCGGCTACTAGCTCACTAAAGGTCTCAAGGTGAGTGTGCATGGTGTCGAAGTTGGCATTTTCAACTAGACAGAGGAGGGAAATACGTTGGTTGAGATCATTACGCCTTGCTGTCGTTTTAACTTGATGCTGCGCAGTAATACGTGCCCAGATTTCTTGGGCTGACCCGAGGTCCTCGACTTGGGGGGCTAGTCCCGGAGAGATTGTAAAAATGAGTGTCGAACGAGCTTTACGCTCTTTGTTGGCCCAATCTAGCCAGGTCGTACGTTGAGTAGCTGTCAAAGCTACGGCTGTTGTTGAATTTGTGGCGTCTGGGGGAGCCTCCCCTGCAATGGTATCAGGGGGAAAGACATGTTGAAATCCACGTCATCGTGATAACCGACGTCTCATACTACCAAATTGTTTCTCCACTGGTAGTCCTCCATTGCTTTATACAGAGCTGAGAACTACCAGGTGAGTGACTAGTATCATGCATTGCTTGATACAGAGCTGAGAACTACCAGTGTCTACCGCTCTTGCAATCACTATCAACAGATTTGGAATCAGACGATCTACCCCGACTCTTTCATCATGTCTCTGTCACGAAGTGACAAGACAGTTTGGTTAGAGTTGGATGGATTGGGTATTTAACCAGCAACCGACGGTGTGCAGTAACCGCCGGTTGATAGGCCTTTTAGCGCAGTGGTTTAGACCACTGTCTCTGAAGGGCACTGTTATATCGTCCCAATGCTGGTTAGTTGGTCTTGTGACAGTCTCCTTCCGACACTGATGATGATCAGACTACCACACATCGTCGAGTTATCCTCACAGGCTCAGACAACTTCAAAGACTGGGAGAGATCTATTCTTGCTCGACTCATTCAGAAGGATCTAGATGAAGTCATTGAAGAGGATGCTACACTACCACTCCAACTGGCAGAAGAGAAGAAAAGCTGGTTGAAGAAGGATAAGAAGGCATGGGCAGCAATCGATGAGTCACTCAGTGCAGCCGTTCACAATGTCCTACCACCTAACCTTCTTGACCTCACCTCAACGCCTACCGGCCTCCTTGCCAAATCCCTTCTCAGTCACCTTTGAAATACCTACTCGGCAGCAAGATCTACTCAAAAGGCTGAACTCTACCACATCATCTGGCGAACAGATATCAAAGACGATGATCCCATGTCCTCAATCTCATCTATGCGACGTGCTTTCAACGATCTTACGTCCTCCTCAGTGTCACTGGCTGACTCTCAACTGGCCTATGCCATCCTTATTGCACTACCGGCATCCTACACTACTCTTGCTTCAACTTTCTACATGCTTGGTGACCCCTCTTCCACAGATGTCATTGCTGCTGTCAACGACGAATTCCGGAGGCGACAAACACAAGAGAGTGGTGCACTTGCCATGGCAGCAAAATTATCAAAGCTCTCACATGGGAAGAGTAGACAGGACAAACCTGGGAGGTTTCGAGAACGTGCTCCCATTGTGAAGGATGGTAGTAAGCCCTACTGTGAATTCCACAACACCAATTCACACTCCACTGCCAAATGCCATGCCGCAAAACGTGTGACAGCTCACATGGCATCTACCACATCATCTATTGAACCTACTCCAACTCCCACTGTCCTAAACTTTGTTGCTACCGCTTCATCATCAGCACTCCTTACAACCGGCCTTCCCTCCACCATTGTCGTTGATTCTGGGGCTTCACATTCTATGGTTTTTGAACCTGAACTGCTCACCGCCTTATACACTCTACCATCCCCAATCCCAGTTGTCATTGGAAATGGCTCCACAATTCAGGCCACAAAGACTGGTACACTCACACTCAAGAATGGGTTTCAGGTGCCGAATACCTTATTTGTCCCAGATCTTGGCCGGAATTTGCTCTCCGTTCGATCCACAACATCTCCCTCAAGGTCTTGGACATTTGACAACACTACCGTAACTCTCCATGAAAACGGACACACTGTCCTCACTGCCAAACTCCGTGATGATCTCTACACCCTTCCCTGCACGTCTCCACCTGCCTACGCACATCTCTCCAGCTCTGATGTAACAGAGACCCTTCTGCAAACATGGCATAGACGACTTGGACATCTTAACATGCAAGCGGTGATCAAACTAGGGAGAAGCGGGAGATTGGGGGAAGCTAGTAGTTGGAACAATGTTTCAAGCAATGAATTCATGTGCGCTCAGTGCATTCAAGGAAAAGGCAAACGACTACCATCTCCTCCGTCTTCTCACCGTGCTACCAGACTACTTGGATCCTTGCACCTTGACCTCTTTGGACCAACACGCACTACCTCACATGATGGTTTTTGTACTTTCCTGACTGTATACATCAATTTCTCACATCACCTTCAGATTCTTTTCCTGCACTCGAAAGCAGACACCTTGACTACCATACAGCAATACATCACCTTGGTGGAGACGCAACTCGGAGTGCCGGTCAAAGCATTGAGAAGCGACCAAGGAGGAGAATTTACTTCAACCGCTTTCAAGAAATACACAAGTACAAAGGGAGTTGATCATCAACTAGTCCCACCAGCCGCGCATGCTCAACATGGCCGTGTAGAGCGAGCTCATCTCTCTATATTGGACTTAGTACGCACTTTACTCCTGGATAGTGGACTACCAGACAGATTTTGGTCTGAGGCAACACACTATGCCACTTCTGTCAGAAATAGAGCACCAGGGATAGATGGTACAGTACCTGAGGACGTATGGCGGGGTGGACCAGTGGAGTATCAACATCTGCAACCGTTTGGTAGCCCGATGTTTTTCCGTGCACACACAGAGACAAACAAACTCAAACCACAATACCTGCCAGGTCAACTGATGGTGTAATGATCCTGCTTGTGAGGATCACCACAAATAAATAAATGTAACCTACCCGTAGGGCTGGATACTGAACCGGAACTCTGTGATGTGGGTAATACTAGTCAGCGATGATCAAAGGTCAGTAGGCGTAAGGAAAGAGTGTGTCAAGGAAACCAAGAGGGTCTGAGAGAGGATTGAGGAAAAGGTGAGAAGGAGGAGGAAGAAGAAGAAGAAGTGAGAATGAAGAAGATGATGGGGAATCTCTCTCTCAGGCCCTGCTTATATGCATATCAGTGTGTCTCAAACTTGATACAAGTCCGAATCGTCCTCGATTCAAGTAAAGGAGAAACTATGTAAGAGAAGGAGGAAAAACTACGTATGAGAACGGAAAAACTATGTATGAGAATGGAAAAACTATGTATGAGAACGGAGAATGTATCCACGAATATGTGGTCCAAGTATGAAGGAGAACGAAGGAAATAGTGAAGCACATATTGTGGTCTACAAAACATATGTGTGTATCATGAGTGAGAAACGGTAATGGACAGGATGAAAGGATAAGAGGAGAGGAGGGAGGAGACAGCAGAAGATGATATAAGACAATACGAGTTGGGGGAATGGATCAAGGAAGAAGGAAGAGGTATGGAAGGAGAGCTATTACACTCTCTTATGTAGGGGAGGCCTGATCCACTACAGATGGGCTATGAGATCAACACAAGTAATTACCGGGTATGGGACACAAGCAAGAATTGCTTAATCATCTCACGAGATGTCAAGTTTGCTGAGACTACCAACAGTCTCAAATCCTACACAAACGCACCTACCCTACCCATGTCCAAACAGCTGCATCCGAACTATTACATTCCAACTGCAACTCTCACAGGGGATGACACGGACGGCAGTACTGAACTACATCCTGTTGAAAACAACGCGCCAGACCAACAGACCCCAGGAGGAAATGATGAGCAACCCCAGCTACCAAGATGGCAAGGATGGAGACCGGAAGAAGATCCACGGTTCAACCGGTCACCTGTGCCACCACCAAACTCTCCACTACCACCGAGCCATGAGCAGACAGAAGAGCTCCCTCGCCGATCTTGCCGTCAAGCTGGAGCAGCACCTGAATGCACACCCCACAGTCTTGAAGACAACCTTGCACTCTCTGCTCAGGTTGATCTGTCCTCCATCATGTATTTGGCGTACTCTGCTATACTTGCACCACAAACAGTCCATGAAGCGCAGAGATCACAGGATTGGATTCACTGGAAACAAGCAATTGATGAGGAGCTAGCAAAAATGGAGAAGTACAGGGTCCGGGTGGTAGTTGACCGCAAAGAGGCTGCAGGAAGAACTCTCAGAGCACGATGGGTCTTTACTCGGAAAATCAATGGAAGTACTGGCAAACCTGCAGCATTCAAGGCCAGATGGGTTGCCAAAGGCTACTCCCAGCGATCTGGTATTGACTACCATG